CAAAGAGGTAAATTGCTGGAGCAGATTTTTTTTCCTTGTGCTAATCAAGCTATGCTGAAAACGAAAATGAAAGTAAAGCAGGCTGTTGGTTGTTTGCTGCAGCAAGGCAAAATTGAGCAGAGGCAGAGGCAGAGGCAGAGGCAGAGGGAGATTTCTTTTTCTTCTTTTCCTCACCCAAAAAGGCAGGTGCATCTTATACTCCGGTATGTCTTATACTCCGAAAAATACGGTAGTCTGCCATAGATCCTCACCTAGAAGCTGCCCTTCTGATTATCATAAGCGTTTCTTAATGGTACAAAAGTTCGTTGTGTTTCAGAATTATACATTATGTTCTTGCTACTGCCAAGCTATTTAGCAGCTGCATAAAATCAAAGGTGATTCTTTTCAAGTACAATTCTTGCAAAGTCTTTTCTAGCAAGATATATGGTGAAGAAAATGATTATAAAGATTCCAGCAACAGAAGAATTCCTTATTTAGAAACCAAGATCTGTTGGCATTAGGGCAGAGACTTTCTTTCTTCTTTCCCACAGTCTTCCTGTAGTCCATCACTGATAACAGAGAAGCTTGCAATTTGCTGTTTACATAACAATCTCCTCTATTACTCTGGAAACCAACTTTTTATACTGACATTAGCCAGTTATTTCACATCCAGAATTTAGGATGCATCTAAGATCTTGTTAGAAATTCTGAATATAGCCCTACAGAACAAAGTGCACAGTTCACATGGGCCTTTCTGCTTAACTGCAACAGGAAACAGGAAATTCTACTCAGAACAAAAAAAAATATATGCAAACTTACAAACACTGCCATCTACTGGTTGAACGCTGCTGTAGTTGTTGTACAGAATACATGAAAACTGTATTCCAACAGATCTTCAGCATAATAAAACATGATATCCAGTGGCTTCAGTATTCCCACTGAGATAGCTTGCCTAGCTCAGACTACACATTTTACCTATCTGACAATTTAATAACATTTCTTTTACTTTAAATGTAAAAGAGATAAGAAGCAGTCACGGTGCACTTGAAATATCAGCTCCAAAAGATTTTAAAAACACCATCCAAGTGTGACTTCTATGCATACTTGGTAAAAGAAGCATCTTTCGTGGAGGGCAAAAGAATCATTTAAAGATTCTGCAACAGCTTTTACATACCATTAACCTCTAGCGTTTGTAAACAATATTTGAGCTCCCATTATGTTCCACCAAAGTTCACCTTTTCTCTCTCTCTCTCCTTTTCTACAATGCGCATATATCAGCACATTATAAATAGCCCCAGAATCATGTGTTTATTATATGCCATTAGTGTGTCTTAACAAGCATTGCTGTGGTATGCCTGCCATTTTATGTTTATGGATCTGTCAACCTAATTTACATGACTTTGAAAATATTCAACATTGCCAGCGCAGGCCCTGCTTGTCAGATGATTGTGTCAGGCAGAAATGAAACACGCATCCAGCTGAAGAGAAAAGCGTATGCATTACTACGAGCTCCAATGAATTCTTGGTGACACAGTGAAATACATTTAATGCCATTTTACAAGTTTCTGAGGAATATATGTTATAAATGAGCAAGTGAGTAGGTGATATACTCTGGGCAGCCCTACATTATACTGCGAGAAACAGATTTTTGCACTCATCTGTCTTACTTCTGAATAAACTATAAGTGTAATAGCCAGACCTGAGTAATATTTGTACCTTGAAATGCCTGTCTGCCTAGAAATTTGAAGAATGCTACCCCCACCCCATACGCACAAAACGTGCACGCACAAAATGCAGTGTCTAACCTGTAATGAAAAAGAAGCTGAACTGTTTCAGATGAAACAGAAGTTAGGAAAAAAAATGTTTTGAGCTCTTGGATGAAAAATTACAGTGGTGGACTGACAACCTCCGTACTTTCTTGCCAATTAAATCTCTTGCGCCATGACTTTTAGAATAATTTAAAGCACAGATTTTTAGAATGTCATTCCATACTTCCAGTTTTACTTCCACATTTGCCTCCATTACTCTTCAAATGTAGCTAGTAAACTTTATTAATCTGATGCCAAATTTTTTAGAGGTGCACAAGAATTCTGTGTTTGGTTTTCCTTTAAAGAAATCTCATTGCTGATATAATGACCTATTGCTAGACAGTTAAGCATGCCCAGTCCAGATGTTTTCACCATGGATTCTCACCTGAGCTTGTCATACTTGTGAAAATTCAGTGTACTAGTAGTAACTAATACTTATCTGAGTATGGTGATGGTTTGATTTCAGATAAAGAACTTAAAATGTAGTCTTAGACAAGATAGAATTATTGTTTAGCAGAATGACAGCTAAACTACACTACGATGTCAGATCATCTGGAAACTTAAAATTAGTATAACGTGAAGGTGCCAGATCAAGCATTCAAATCATTCACCGATTCATAGTGTTGCTATAATTTTTGAAGCTGTAAATAGCGCAGAGCCATGATAACTGAATGATTGTCTCCCATAATCAAATTGACCTGGTTCTCTAGTCACTTGATAAGGACCTTCTGGTTTGCCTCACCTCTTTGAAGCATATGTGTTGGAAATGGGTCTATGACAATTCACCACAGACAACTTGCCATGGCCAACTCGCTACAATCAACTCACCGTGGCCAACTCACCATAGCCAACCTGCCATGGCCAACTCGCCTTGGCCAACTCGCCATGGCCAACTCGCCTTGGCCAACTCGCCTTGGCCAACTCGCCACAGCCAACTCGCCACAGCCAACTCGCTGCAGGACAACTCACCACGGCCATCTTACCACAGGACAATTCATGGCAGGACAACAGTTACACTAATATCAAAGGAATGGTGGAATAGAATTGTTAAAGAAAGGTTGCAAAAGGAGGGATAGAATGAAATATGAATAGCAAAAATTAAAATAATTTCTATTTATTTTAAATAATTAAATAGAATTGTTAAATTGTCCTGCAACGAGTTGTCTCGTGGTGAATTGGCGAGTTGGCCATGGTGAATTAGTTACACTGAGTTTGCCACAGCGAGTTGGCTGTGGCAAGTTGTCCCATTCCTGTTGGAAATGAATGCAAGATCCTATTTCACTAGGATCATACCTGGCTACAGCATATTTTAAATCTAACTGAACAAAGGGAAGAAGAAATTGTAATAACTTCTTTTAGCAATATCTGCTAAGCAAACAATTGATATGTTTTCCATATATTGTCTTCCTTGATTGAAAACAGATTCCTTAGATCTCAAGGAAATGGTTTCCCAACCCTAAAATCTGAAATTCCTTAAACAGAAATTCCTGAACTTCAGAGCACATTTGTGAAAATCAGATATTTGATCATTATGACCTCTGCATAGTTTATGAGCATAAAGTTTATAGTTTCTATAGTATAAAGTTTATAGTTTATGACCTCTGCATAGTTTAGTTGCCTTCCTATATCTTTGTTTCACAAAATGATTGTTTTGTCCAAAGTATAATTTTATTTCAGCATTATTATTATCTCTGTGACTTGGACATAAATTATCCTTTCTTTACTGTTTCTTCTGTATACCACTGCATTCTGTCCATTCATAGTGATCTGCAATACATTTTCATAGTGTCAACTTAATGCCAAATGACAAGTGTTGAAAACATAATAAAAACTGGGACACATTAATCCATTTTGTATGAAAATGTAGAAAGATAATCATGTTCTGAATGGGATGCCTAAGCTTCAACAATACTGTTGCTAAGGCATTTCTTCCAGAAGGGATCATACCAGAGATTCTGATTAGAAAAGAATTACTGCTCTGTCAAACTACTCTGAATTATGAAAACTATCATATAATGCTAAGAACATAGTGAAAAAGAAACATAACATGCAAAAAACAATACACATACCTCTATTCTGATTATACAATGGCTTAATGTGAAACACTGAAATAGATAACTGCTTCCTGTAAAGGAGAATATTTGTAGCTCAGGGTTGAAATGAGGGGTCCTTGGTGCTCTCTGAGTGTGATTGTTTTCTTGCAGAAGTTAGTTGCCTTCCCTTGTTTGGAAATAATTTGGAGTTTGCTCTCAGATTTATATTCTGGTGGCTTGCCCTGCCAGTATTGGTGGGAGTGGCCTTAGAGGTTCTGTGGTTTGGCTGTATATTGTCAGCTTGTTTGGTAGTTCCTTGATGGGGGTATTACTTGAGAGCAAACTTCATTCTTTACTAGCACCGACAACCTAGTTTGAGGAATGAAACATCTGCAAGAAAACAACCAAGCTCAGAGATCACCAAGGATTCCTCAGTCTGCTTACTCATATGGAGTTCATATGGAGATTGAAGACTTGTTAATGGTTATCCAATACGGATCTTAATCAGAGGCACAGGACATCCTCATCCAAGGCTGCATAAACAATAGCTTCATGAAGTGGAGCAATGATCACCTCCATGATCTAGCTGACCACACCACCCCATTCTTCTCCTAAATTAGGAGGATCATGTATCTAACTCACAACTGGCAAAAGATATCCTAGTAAGCACCATTACATTTCATTAAAATCCATTGGCCAATAGAAGTCCTAGCTAATTGGCTAGATATTGCCTCAATAGTCACCAAGGACTCTGCCTATGAAAAGTTTACACATTGACAAAGCTGAACAATTTTATCATCAAAGTGCTGTGCAAAGCAGTTATAGCTACCAGGTGACTAATAATGTCTGTATAATTATGCTTTTCTCAGAGAATCTTTCAGGATATAGGATAATAGTTCCCACCTGTGGAAACTACTGTTTCTACTCAGATTCTTTGCCATACTGCAGTTTATAAATCGAATTGAACCAATATAGTCTAAGGAATAGAGCTTAATGGGCCCTCAAGGCTCTGTGAAGTTCACCCACCTACTACATATGTCAACATCTCCTACTAGAGCAGGGGTGTCAAACTTGGGTCATCACGACAGCATCACATGACATATTAGGACATTTTTCCTTTGCTAAACTGGATATGGGTGTGGCCAGCGCATGACGCATCTGACCCGCCGGCCGGGAGTTTGACAGCCCTGTATGATCAGATGCAACTTGACCCAGCTGGATTGATTTGCAATTCACTCTCCATCTCAGTTTGAAGAAGTGTGACCTATTGTAAAAAAATAGCCACATAAGTAGTTGAAACCATGGTTTCTGAATACTCCCTACTGTGCACTCTTCCATTCTACTGTTTGAAATAATAAGATCAATTTGTCTACTTCTTATACTATTCAGTGGTGGGTTGCCCCAGTTCAGACCGGTTCACAAGAACCGGTAGTAAAACTGGCAGGAGGTTCTGCCCACCGACCCCGAAGTCATCAGGAAGCTTCTGTGCATGCACGCATGGCCCCATTGCAAATCGGTAGTAAAGGTAAGTAGAGCCCACCCCTGATATTATTGCTATGCTATGCCATGCCATACCACACTACACTATCCTTTACTATTCTATGCAATATTATAGTATACTATCATTCTTATACTATACTATACCTGGTTACCTGTTTAGCTTTGATTACAAGGTTGCAATATAATAATAGAAATATGTCACTATTAAGCAAGCTATTAACAGACACCAGCTGGCAGCCTCAATCCATCTGATGGTGTGTGTGTGTGTGTGTGTGTGTGTGTGTGTGTGTGTGTGTGAACCAGTTTGTTATAGTGGTTAAAACATGAACATGGGCACAAAGCCAGCTGGGTGACCTTGGATGAATCACTCTCTCTCTCAACCCCAGGAAGGAGGCATTACAAACCACTTCTGAAATCATGCCAGGAAAACTGCAATACTTGTCCAGGAAGTCTCTGAGAAACTGACATGGAAAAAAAAGTGTGGTGGGTGTCTAAAAAGATGAAATCATGGCAACTGGACCAAAGTTTATTAAACTGAGACATTTTGTTACTTATCCACGTAACTTCTTCAGTCAAACTGAAAAAATTAAGTTAGGCAGAGAGCCAGATAGTCATTGGAATGTACTAACTCTTGCCATACCAACTGCAGGGGTTTTCCCCCAAAATGTATTGAAATATGTCAATGAAAACTCAATCTTCCAGGCCAAAAGCATATAAAAAGGTTAAATGAAGGCAATTGGACCAAAGTTTATTAAAGTGGGACATTTTGTTATTCATCCAAGTAACAAACATAAGAAATAATTCTATTTCACCAAGCCAAGAAGCTTTTACACACAGCAATTGCTTTTATAACATCTTCACTGGGCCTAAATATATACATGTGAGAATGAGAATTATGGCAAGTATGTATTGGCCTGCAACTACTGTATTGATCTTTCTGTGCAGGACAATAAAGAAATATGAGAGTCATAAACTGCAACTTCCATAGTTCTTTGGTACTGCTTTTTTAGTTCTTCAGTAAAGGACTTCATGCATTTCTGATTGTTGTTTCATAATAATTTCTGTTTCAGTGAACTTGCTTGGTCTACTTCCATGATAGAAGTCTTCAACTAAGTTACAAGGCCGTGTCAAAATAAAGTAATAAAGCTATCTGCCTTCATGCAGACAATAATTAATTGTATTCATTTTGAAAACATGTAAAAATATGCCAACCTTCCCAAGGTACAAGATAAGGGAATGATAAATGGAGCTTAATGGAGTTAATATTCATAGCCGATATATGTCTCACATGCATTTTATTAACTACAGTATTACATGTAATTATGATAGCTGACCTATTAAACCAATTGCCTTGGACATCTTGTAATAAAGAACAAAGCAGAACCTCTGTCTTCTTCCCATCCTCTATCAAATGCGTGAGAAATTATTTAATTTCCTGTGGAATGAAACCAAGTCTTGAAAAGGAAGAAGATGCAGTAATGGTAACAGAGGATGATTTTGCCTTGTGTGCAAGCAAGAAAAATGGACTTTCTAAAACATGTCATAACCCACTAAAAATAACTTCAGATAATTGCTTTGGTGAAGTTAAAATTATCTGTTAAAAATAGAGAATATTATTTTTCCCATAAGCAAAAAAAATAAAAAATAAAAAATAGACATAGCAACTATTTTTGCTCCATGTTAAAACTGGCACAAGTATTTTTTTTTTTAAAGTGAGGAAAACCTGTGTTTAAAAATGGTGTCCCGCTAAGTCCTTTCAAAAGACTGGGTGACTCATTCCTTGCACCTGTCCCCTTGGAAGTTTAGACTTATTTTTCTTGAAAAAAGAAACCATTCTTTTGTTAAATAGTCTCAGAGCGCTCTAGTAATATGGAAAGAAAGGCTGCCTAACCCAAAGGTGTTTTTTTTAAAGGCAACTGACGTTTCTGGATTTTATTATTTTTTTAAATGTTTCACTTCTCATCCAAGAAATGTCTTCGGTTCTAAATGATTGGTGGAGAATGGAAGGATTTATATTCTTTGCAGTCATCTGGTCATTAGCACTCTCTCTGAGTCACTTGGGGGTTTATCTGTATCCTTAGAATCAGCTGAATCAGAGTGTAAACTGGTATGGGAGCTTCTTGGGATTGCTGAAAGGACTGTGTTGTAGACAGGAGATAGGTGGTGTTTGTCATGAATAAATGCCTTGCCTCTGATTCAGAGCTAGAAGCAGGGGGGCTGGGCAAGCCAACCCCCAAGGTCCACCCTAACCCAATGACCCCTCCTTACCTTAGCCACGCCCCGGGGGTACTTAAGGATCAGCCATGCGGTCCTGCCTCAGTTCCAGACTTGTACCTGTAACGATAAGATGCTTAATCAATAAACAATAATTGATACACTAAGAATTTGTCTATGGAGTTATTGGGCACGATCCTCGAATACAACTGACAAAATGGTAGCAGAGGATGGTTGTATAGCCCAATCCTGATACTCCACGACATGCAAGGGACCACGACAGACAGGGTGAATACCAGAGCATTCACCAAGAAGATGGCAGGACGATCTGCCCAACCCGAAACCACGCAAGGAGAGGCACCCGAGACGAGCGGCCTACTCCACCACCCATCCACCCCGGCCAGGAGCAACGAGGAGTGGACGAAACACGAAACCTCAAAGGAAGAGATGCACGACCTAAAAGGAAAACTTCTCGAACTGATAGATTCGTCGCAAAGCAACAGCGGCCTCATCGCGGAACTCCGAAGCCTGATCAAAGGCTCCGAAGCAGCGAGTGAGGAAGATGAAGATGAATCCGACTACAGCGAAGGAGACCCGGTAAGGGAAGATTTCCCCCACCAAAAACCTACCGCAAAGGCCGAAGGAGACTTCGCGCCCTTTTCACGGTGGCCATCTTGGGAGACGGCATCATCAAAGATGGCCGACCATCCACCAATAGACTCCCGGGATTTAAATCCTATGGCGGGAATCGGGGCCTACTCAAAAACTACCGACCAAAAATACTACAAAAAACACAAAGGCCCAAAAACAAAACCTACAAGCTCGCCTACCGAGCCCGAAGTCAACAAGGCCATCGAACTAATCGCCGCGGCCCTAGGGGACAAGGTGAAAATACCGGCCGTACACCCCGGCGCCAGGCCGAAAAATAAAAGGGACCCCAACGCGACGAGGGCCGGCACCGGCACCCACCCTGGGAAGGATGCCACCATCGCGTGGACCCAGGACCACCCAGAGCCCCTAAGAGGTCCACCCACTAAAGCGGGACGCCAAGGGCGATGGGACTACTCACCAGACCGACGACCGGGACCAGATCCGTGGACCGCGAGGCCATCCGCAGGCAGAGGATGTCCATCAGCGGGCAGGGGGATCGGCCCGACACCCACAGGCGACATCCGTGCGAGACCGGGCCAACCGGGACCATTCGCGGCCCCAACGGGACTCCCAGCGTCCACCGGCAATCCTCACCGCTTTCCGAGGCTCCAGGTGACGATCCGCGATGATCCCGAGCAGGCAAGGCCAACCGGAGAGGAGCTGAAGGCCCATCCGGAAGATTGGGGCCTTCATCCGGGAGCAGCATGGACGAGCTCCTCACTCCACGACGACTGGGGAGAAATGAACCTCACGCATGCGCAGCACGCCCCTGTAAGAAAAACGGAACAGGACATAGAGCTACACCGACGCAGACACATAGATACAAGTCAGTTCAGACTTGCCACAGTCGTTCCTCTGCCATATTGCGAGTATCCTTATGTGAGGAACCATGGACAGCGACATAATGTGAGTAATTTAACTTACAATTCAGGGACTTTACCCAGTGATTTTCCTAAACTGAGGCTAGATGGGGAGAATTTCCTGGACTGGAATCAGCAGCTCCAGGCCACCCTGCTTAAGGAAGACCTGCTATCTATGGTTACAGACCCCCCAGAAAAACCCTGGACTTTTGAATTGGATTGCATCCATCACAAAGCTTACTGTATCGTCATTGCCAGCATTACCCCCAGCATTTACCCCAGTATTGGCCACCACCTGACTGCATTAGAGATAATACAGAGAATGCACAAACTGTTTTACTGCCAAAGCGTTGCCAGCACCACCAGGCTGTCTAGGGAGTTTTATGCCACTAAACTCAAGGCAGGGACACCCATGAGCGAGCATTTACTATCACTAAATAATACTAGGGCCCAGCTGACACAAAGGGGGGAGGTCATAAGCGAGAGGACCATGATAAGTATCATAGTAAATTCCCTAGACCCCAGTTGGGACACCTTTATTACACAGATAGACAATCTAGGGACAGGGAGGCTCTCACTTGACTTACTAACAAGTAAACTAATATCAGAGGATTGCATCAGAAAGGAACGCTCCCTAAGCCGCAGGGAGCAAAGACCCAGCAGAAAGGTTGAGCCACAGGGCAGGAGCCAGAGCAACACAGAATGCTATATATGTGGGTCAAGAAACCATTACAAGAGGGACTGCCCTAAAAATACAGGTGACAGGATGCATAGGAGAGATAGACCAGAGCAAAGGACAAGACACACTAGCGGACGCTCACCAGAGGTCAGGCACAGGCGTAGGGATTCACCTAGCCCTAGAGACAGGAGAGACCACAGGGACAGTTCCAGGGAGAGCCACACTGGATCACTGCACGGCATAGGGGATCAAGCACAACACGTAGGCCAAGACAGGGAGGAAGGCACATGGCTGCTGGACTCAGGGGCCACAAACCACACCACACATGATCGCAACCTACTAACCTCTTTCACAGGAGAAAGTTTTGTAGTGAAAGTGGCTAACCAGAATAACGTACAAGTAACAGGCAAAGGTAATGCATACGTACCAGGAATAGGTATGGTACGGGGAGTACTTCTGGTGCCAAATATACCATATAATATCCTTGCCACCCTAAAACTAAGCAAGGATAACAATGTCGAGGTGACTTTCAGAGAAGGAAAGGCACAGGTAACCAGAGGGGGTAAAGGGATAGGGAAAGTAGTAGTCAGTGGGGAACTACCATTCTTCCACCCAGCCAAGGGCACACAGCCAGAAGTAAACAACCACCGAGGGTTTAGCTCCAATAGCACAGGCAACACAAGTAAGGAAGTAGAGGGGGTTAAGCACACACACACCACCGATGAACCCAGTGAACAGGGGACACCTAGGAAGGAGAAACCAATGATAGGGAAACCAATGCATGACAACTGTGCCCACCTATTACACAGGAAACTAGGGCACATTAGTTTCCCCGTAGTGCAGAAAATGTTGGAATGCTCTGAAGGTGTAAAAATAAAGGATTGTGAGAACTATCTCGAGTGTTCTATTTGTAAGGGCTCCAAATTGAAAACCAAACCAAGGCCCAAGAAGTCAGTACGCACAACTAATTCGATTTTCCAACTTGTACATATGGACCTAGTGGGGCCACTAAGGCCCTCCATCAAGTACAGGAAGAGGTACTTCCTGACCATAGTGGATGACTTCAGCCGCTATGGCTTCGTGTACACCCTAAAACACAAAAATGAAGTATTTCAAAAATTTAAGGAATTCTATGCGAGGGTGGAGACACAACACAACACCAAAATCAGGCAAATAATGACAGACCGGGGGTCTGAATTCTTATCAAGCGACTTCTCGCGATGGTTAAAAGCACGCGGGATGATCCACTACACGACTTCTCCGTTTTCCGCTTTTCAAAATGGCGTGGCGGAACGAAAAAACGGAACGCTACAGACCATGATGAGGTGCGCGCTAGATGATGCCGGCCTAGGGCAGCATTTCTGGTCCGAAGCACTCATTTATTCGAACTATACCCTAAATAGACTGTGGTCCAGCGTACTAAATAAAACCCCATATGAATTAATGTACCAAAGGAAACCACAGGTGTCACACTTACACATATTCGGGGTCACAGCAGATGTGCACATACCCAAGCAACTCAGGCGTAAGGGGGACAGGGTATCCAGGAGGCTGAGGTTAATGGGCTATGAACCGGGGACGAAGGGATACAGGTTCATAGACAACAGCAACAATTTCGTGATATCACGAACAGCTGTTTTTCACGAAAACGCTAACTGGTCCAAAATACACCTCAACGAGGTGTCCCTTAACAAGGACGGACCAGGGGATGATCAAAAAGAAATGAAACACCAAGCAGGGAGGGACACTGAAAAGAGAAAGAACAAACCCAGGGGACAGGAAATACCAGTGAAGGGGTGGAAGGAAAACCACCCGCTCATTAAAGTAGACTCACTCACCGAGAGAGAAGCTAGGTACATGCATGACACGGAGACACCTCCTGACAGACCAGTCAGGACAAGCAGGGGCAAAAGGCCAGAAAGGTTAGGGGACTACATACTATCCTTACACAATAACCAACTAACCCCCAACACATATGAGGACGTACTAGGGTTACCAAATGAGGAGAGAGAGAAATGGGAACAAGCCATGGAAAGGGAAATGGACAGCCTGAGGGAACTAAAAGTATACACTCCCTCTAAAGTCCCAACAGGAAAGACAACCATAGGCACTAGGTGGGTCTACAAGGTTAAGACTCTAGAGGGAAATAAAGTGCTCTACAAAGCAAGACTGGTGGCTCAGGGATTCGCCCAGAAATACCCTGATGACTACACGGAAACGTACTCCCCCACAGTCAGGGCCGAAAGCGTGAAATGCGCACTAGTGGTCGCATCACTACTGGGGCTGGAGGTGCACCAATTCGACGTGCAAACCGCTTACCTGCACGCTGAGCTCGACAAAGAAATATACGTGAGAGCGCCACCCAGCCAAAGCACCAAAAAGGGGGAAACCTGGATTTTAAACCGGAGCTTGTATGGACTCAAACAATCAGGGAAACGTTGGTATGAGTGCCTATCCAAGACATTGAAATCCATGGGATTCTCAGCCACTTCAGCCGACAACTGCTTCTTCACCAAGAAGTCAGACAGCTCCCTCGAATATGTTTTGATATACGTAGACAATATATTGTATATCGGTGATCAAGCCAGCAAATGTAATAACTTCGCCAATGAGCTGGGAAAACATTTTACACTAAAAATATTGGGCAAGGTAGACAAATACTTGGGGGTGCAGATCACGAAAACAGGCAAGGGTTTTCAGCTGTCACAGAAGGATAAAATTTTAGAACTAATACATAAATGCAGCATGACAAACGCCAAGGGGTGTGAAACGCCAATGCAGCCAGATTTCTTGAAGGACATGTATAATGAGGCTGAGGCGTTCAGGGACAACACTTTATACAGATCCACCATAGGCTCCCTCCTATACATTGCGAATTGGACCAGGCCAGACATCGCATTGCCAGTCAATTTGCTGTCAAGACATGTGGGTAAGCCCACCGTGTACCACTGGGAGGCCATCAAAAGGGTATTAAGGTATCTAAAGCAAACTTCCGAGGCCTGCCTGTCATTAGAACCCGAGAACACCAAAGCACCCACACTCACGTGCTATGCTGACGCTGACTGGGCTGGGGACGTGAAGTGCAGGAAGAGCACTTCGGGTTACATATTTTTCCTAAACAACAGCCCGGTTCACTGGTATACAGGCAAGCAAGACTTGGTAGCCACATCCACCATGGAGGCTGAATATATCTGTTTGTCCAAAGCCGCCAACAACCTGGTCTGGTTTGATGACCTGCTCGCTGACATATGGGCCGAGCCGAGCTACCCCATCATCATGCACGAGGACAACAAAGCCGCCATGGAAATATCTAAGGCTGAAGCAGTGGGTCAAAGGTCGAGGCATATCGACATAAAGTACAAGCATGTCAGGCAATTCGTGAACATAGGTTTTGTGAAGGTTATACACTGTGACACGGAAGAACAAACGGCAGACATCCTAACAAAGCCGTTACAAAATAAACAGCACACGTACCTCACATCAAAATTAGGAGTCCTCTTGAAAAAGACAACTCAAGTACATAACACACAAAAATATCTCGGCCAGGCATTTAGAGGGGGTTTTGTCATGAATAAATGCCTTGCCTCTGATTCAGAGCTAGAAGCAGGGGGGCTGGGCAAGCCAACCCCCAAGGTCCACCCTAACCCAATGACCCCTCCTTACCTTAGCCACGCCCCGGGGGTACTTAAGGATCAGCCATGCGGTCCTGCCTCAGTTCCAGACTTGTACCTGTAACGATAAGATGCTTAATCAATAAACAATAATTGATACACTAAGAATTTGTCTATGGAGTTATTGGGCACGATCCTCGAATACAACTGACAGTGTTGTATCCCTCTACCTCATTTGAGAAGGTATTCCTGAAGCCTTTAGCATGAGATCTCAGATCAACAAAGATCAGAAAAAGCCTCTTAGAATGAGAATATATGAAAAAGGGACA